TTTGGAAGTCCTCTTTTAATGAGATTATTTTTCAGATTAGTTTATGTGTCCTTGGATAAATGTGGCATTTTGAGAATGAAAGACAGATCAGCATTAATTCCATTTCTGTCTTTCATTTCTGTGTAAAGGTTGATTGAAAATTGCCCCTAAATCAAGGGATGGGAATAGAAGTAGCTTTAAAAACCACTTTACTCAATTCTTTAAATTCCATCCCCAAAATCACATTGTGGTTTTAATCATCCTTCAGCCGACAGCATGATTAGTTTATTCTTCATTTTTTAGAAGAATTCTTCATTTTTAGAAGAGTTTGTTATTTAGAATTGTTCATTCTCAAATTTAGGGACATAAACTCAAAGGGCTTTATCAAGACTATCAAAGATTGCTACTTGTATCTGTTACTCTTTCACTTAGAAAAGCTTTATATATATATATATATATATTTTTTTTTTTTTTTAATTTATTGTTTATTTTTGAGAGGGGGTTGGTGAGAGTGAGTGGGTAGAGAGAGGGAGAGCCAGAATCCGAAGCAGGCTCCAGGCTTCGAGCTGTCAGCACAGAGTCCGATGTGGTGCTCGAACGCACGAACAGTGAGATCATGACCTGAGCCAAAGTCAACGCTTAACTGACTGAGCCACCCAAGCGGCCCAAAAAAGCTTTATTTAATTCAATATATTTAATCCAATTGGGAAATCCAATCTGTTACTTTCAAAACACCTTTCAGATATATTCTTTTGATAAATTAGTGTTTTAAATATATTTTCATCATAATATATGTTTCATTAAATATGTAATTCATGGGGCGCCTGGGTGGCTCAGTTGGTTAAGCGTCCGACTTCAGCTCAGGTCACGATCTCACGGTCCGTGAGTTCGAGCCCCGCGTCGGGCTCTGGGCTGATGATGGCCCAGAGCCTGGAGCCTGCTTCCGATTCTGTGTCTCCCTCTCTCTCTGACCCTCCCCCGTTCATGCTCTGTCTCTCTCAAAAATAAATAAACGTTAAAAAAAAAATTAAAAAAAAATGTAATTCATGAAAACTTTGGAGCTGCACATTTAATCAATTTATGGTAAAAGTCCACCATTTAATGAAACCAAGTCAAATATCCACTGTATCATCAATAAATCAAATAACTAAATCAGACTTTCTTTCTGTCTGAAAAAGTCTGACTTGAAAATTTCAGTGTTGTGTTAGTGAATTTTGAAGAATGTTATAAAAAATCATTAAGCACATGATAGAACACTTTTTGTAAGAGATGACTAAAAGCAGTCAAGGTCTAAAATCACACAGATTTAACATAATTTTTAAAGAAGCAAGATAAATCAATGTACTCTTTCTCAGTATTTAACTTGTAACAAGTCATCTGTAAGCTAAGATTATGTTATTTAAGAAGCAAGTAGGTTTATAAGGCAAAATATTCTTTCAATAAAGCTGTGTGCTTATAGTGAACTAAAGAATTGGTTCACTCAATTCTTGGTAGAATTAAGAATCAAAAATAACATTGAATTTATTAGATGGGATCAGACTTTTCCTATAAAATGTTATACAGGTTGCTAAAAACTAACTGGTGTGGCAGCCAGAATCTATTTTCTGTTAGTAGGTGGTAGGAAATATTAATCATCTCATGAGATTAAATTAAGATTTGGCTGTATTTGGAATAAATATTTCATGATATGCATGGAAAGTTGTTTGCAAATTTTATTCAGTGCATCATGAAAATTTTGGTAGTTATATTTTAAGTTAGAATTAAAATGGTCAGCATTGGGGCAACTGAACCACTCAATTGGTTGAGTGTTCTGCTGTTGATTTCGGCTTGGGTCACGGTCTCATGGTTTGTGGGTTTGAGCCCAGCATTGGGCTCTGCTGGCAGCGTGGAGCCTGCTTGTTTGGGACTCTCTCTCTCCCTCTTTGTCTGCCCCTCCCCTGCACACACCTGTTCTCTCTCTCTCAAAATGAATAAACTTTAAAAAAAAGGAAAAGAAAGTTCTCCCCCTTAAAAAAAATAAATGATCAGCATCACTAAACTGTTCTTGTTTTGACTGCTCAAAGGTAGTTTTCTTTCCAGTCAGTGATGGTTCCAAAGATGAGTATTTTATTCTGTTTTTATTTTTATTTTTATTTATTTTTTAAGTTTATTTATTTTGAGAGAACATGCGAGTGCACGCATGCAAGCAGGGGAGAGACAGAGAGGGAGTGAATCCCAAGCAGCCTCTGCACTGTCAGCACAGAGCCTGACTGAGGGCTTGATCCCACAAACTAAAATGATGACATGAGCCGCCAAAATCAAGAGTTGGACGCTTAACCAACTGAGCCACCCAGGCACTCTAAGATGAGTTTTAAATAGCAGGAAAAATTACTTATGAGAAAAGATGTAGCATTTGGTATTTCTTTCTTTTTTTTCTTTTTTGAGTTTATTTGTGAGAGAGAAAGAGTGTAAACAAAAGAGGGGCAAAGAGAGAGAGAAGAGAAAGAATCCCAAACAGGCTCCACGCTGCCAGCCCAGAGCCCAATGTGGCTCACGAACCATGAGATCGTGACCTGAGCTGAAATCAGGAGTCGGAGGCTTAACCGACTGAGCCACCCAGGCGCCCCTAGCATTTAGTGTTTCTCGCCGGTATTTCCTGCTTTGCTGGTGTGGCTTCCATCAGGAGGGATGTACTTCACAGGAATCTGAAGATGAAGTGGCCAGTTTGTTAAACAAAACCCTCATCCCTTCCACTGTGCTACACTTTACCACATGCCCAAAACTTGAGCATTCTTACGATTCCCCAGATGCCCCCTCTCTAAATCTCCCTTAACAGAAATACAGAACAAGGAAAGTCAGGAAGCCCCAAAGACTAACAACACACTGTGCTCTGTAGATCTTAATCCCTCAGGGCGGTACAGTCTAGTACAGGTTGGAGAGATGACTGATGTGCCTGTGGATGGAAGGAATATTGTGGATTCAGTGTGGTTGTCTTTCAGATTGCTCAGTTTGAGGGAAGGGTACGTATGGAGGAAGTTTCCTTTAAAATTACCCTTGAGGTGCCAGGGTGCCTCAGTCTGTTAAGCGTCCAATTCTTAATTTGGGCTCAGGTCGTGATCTCAGGGTTCATGAGATCGAACTCCATGTCAGTCTCTGTGCTGGCAGCATGGGCCTGCTTGGGATTCTTTCTCCGTCTGTCTCTCTCTCCTTCAAAATAATTATTTACAAGAAAAACTTTAAAATTACTCTTGCTCAAGGACCCCTTTAAAGGTTTTAAGGTACCCCTCATAGGGTTAAACAAACCCCGTATGAAGGCCTCTGGTCCAGAGTGTTGAAAAGTTCTGCCCTTATTTCTGTGTGTTGTAAAATGTTTTCCATGAGTGATACTGTGGGTTTTCTTGAGTCTACGTTTGATAAAAGCTCTTATTTAGGACTTTCTCGGTGAGCACTGAGAAAACTCGTTTAATCTTTTGTAGGGGGGTGTAAAACAAACTATCGTGCCCCTGCCTCATTAATGTCATAAAGCTTATCCATCAACCAGCCAACACCAAGCCTTTTGAGTTCCCTTTATCAGATAATGTCAAGAACACCTGGGTTAGCGTTCTTCCCACCTCAGTCTAGTGCTTATTCAGCCCTGAGCTGTGTTGAAATTGCACACATACTAGGTAGAATGTTATGAAACAGTTTTCAGTGCAGACAGCTGAGACCCAGCCACTTTCTCTGTTGAGTGTTTGAGCGATTACACCGTACTTCTGCTAGCTTGCTTAAAACGTATAAGGGGCCCCACAGGGAACAATGGCCATGACTTTTGTTCGTGCTCTGTATATAGCGAGAAAAATGTGGGAACTACAAACAGTAACTTAATGATGACTCAAGAAGTTCAGGAAAGACAGGTATGATATAATAAACAAACCTCAAGTCCTAACACTTGTGTTAGATCCTGCATTCCTTATACAGGCAGCTTCTTTGTGTTGTGTCAAGTGGTGTTTGGGGAGAAGGGAAGGGAGGGGAGCTTTTCAAAATAAGATGTAGTAGGGGCTCCAGGGTGTCTCAGGAGGTTAAGTGTCTGACTCTTGATCTCAGGGTCGTGAGTTCAAGCTCCACATTGGGCTCTGCACTGGACGTGAAACCTACTAAAATAAGAAATAAAAAATTAGATGTAGTGAAGTTTCAACTTAACAATTTAATACATTCTCATATGTGATTTTTTGCTCAAGTTGTATAGACCAAATGCAATAAGAATCATATGCTGTCTCTTGAGAAAAAGGTTCTTTATTTTTTGAGAAAGGTTATTAATCCATTCAAAGACTCCACTCTACTACAACACTTTTTATGGACTTTCTGAGTAAAGTCATTTGTTCCAAGGCTCTATTTGACTGTCAGGTTTGGGGAGAAAATTTACTACTTCTGCTCAAGGTAGAAGGGAATATATTAAGATAAGCATTAGGAATTTCTCAAGGCTAAGAGGAATCTCTGTATAAAGAAGAGGAAGCACTTGGAGGCTTTATAACCAGAATGCCTCAGCCGGGGGATATTTCCCTAAGCTTGTGTCCTTGCTCCTCACCTTGCTTTACTGTCTCCCTGAGACGCACAAGATTTTATCACCTCGCTGCAAGAAGTTCCTAAAATCGATTGCCCTGACCCCTCTTCCGAGTTCCCAAAGTTCTTCTGTACCAGCTTGCTGGATATTTCATGAGAGTCGCCAGCATCTTAAAGTTAACACATTAAGAAATAAAACGTAGTTGTCCCCCCAGCCCCACCCTCCAGCCTATACTTCTGTCACCTGCTCATCACTCACATTCAGAATCTGTGGCAAAGCTGCCAATTCCCTGTTCTTTATGCTTCTGGGGAGGCCTCATTTGTCACACTGCAGTGTGGTTTGGCGTTCTGCCCTTGGAGGAGGCCGAGATGTGATTACCCTTTGCATCTAGAATGAAAAGTTTGCTAATGAAGCTGGAGGAAAATGTTATGCTTTCAGGAGGTGACGCCTGAGCTTGCTTGAATCAGCCTTTCCCTCTCTTGCTCCCAAGTATAGGGCCATATATCTGCCTGGTGCACCTGTCATCTCTACAAGGCCCTGGACTAGTTTGCTGTAGCCTCTGGAAAGAGAAGAGTTGGCTACCGACTCCTTGCCATTGACGTTTCATCTCATTTGTCGGAATAGGTGGGCTTTGCCTTTATTTTTTTTTTTTCAAGTTTTTATTTAAATCCCAGTTACCATACAATACGAGATTAGTTTCAGGTGTACTTTATGTCTAAGTGCATCTCTCTAGGTTTCTAGCCTTTGAACCATACTTGAGCATGGAGAGGGTAACATAATTCTGATTTAAATTTTGAATTTTCTTTCTACTTCTTCACTTATAATTCATGCAAACTATTTCTGATATCCCCTAGAACTCTTGTGTCTTAAACATCCTTCCTGTAAGGCGAGTGATGAATGTGTTCCCGTGTGGGCTCTCAGATATGGAGATGGTGTGTTTGGGGAAACTATGCAGTGCTGTCGCCTAACTGCCCAGTTTCAGGCTTGGATGTGTGACTCTTTGATGACTCGGTTATGAATATTCTGAGAGCTGTGGTTGGCCCCGTCACCCTGTCCTCATACAGTCCTTACACATTCTCAGACCCTGTCATGCAGGGGCCACACCTAAAAGAGCACCGTAGAAGTAGGGCTTCCTTGGAGTTTGGTGGTTCCATGGACAGCAGTGGAGAAATCTTCTCCTCAGCCATGTTGAGCAGAAGCAATGCAAATAAGCATAGGCTCACATTCTGGTGGAAGGTTTTAGGTAGACACTTCTAGAAAATTATGTACTTGATAACAGGAGAATGTTAGACACGTTTTGAAGTTCAGATCAGTGATGTATCATCCACAGTTATGTATTTTCAACCAACGAATACTTATTGAATATTTCATTCTAACTCAGAAAGGAAGGCATAAACAGGGAAAGATAGCTACCTACATAAAGTAACTAGCTAACTAAGTAGCTGACCATGTGAAGTAGGTTTCAAAAGGGGCCTAACTGTGCAGCCTGGTGTTTAAGAGTGTAAGGGTTTGGAATCAGATCTGGGTTTTGATCCTGGTTCTGACATTGGTGCTGTGGCCTGGGCAGGTTACTTCATTTTTTTCCTCCCAGTTTTCCCTATAAAGCTTTCTTTGTAGGCTTGTTGTAGGAGTGAAATGAGCTAATATCTGAATCATGCCTAGTGAATTATGGCTGATTTAGCTAGACTATCTTAGAGTAAAACACAAATAAAACATCTTCAAAGTGCATCACGATGCTAAAGGGTGTCCTAATAACCATGGCACACTGGAGGCAGGGCCACAGATCGAGGGCTCCTTCATTTTCTATGATTAAGGAATGAGTGATCCCAGAACCTGGGATGGTGTTCAGATTGGTGGCTCTGACTGTTACAGGGACAGAAAGGAAGCCAGGGGCCAGGTTGGCAGACACATCACTACATCAATTCAGCAGAAGGAGAGTTCACACCAACCCCCAAACAAGCAGATTTAGTTACCAAAGTGCCAACTACCCATCATCAAGTGGAGGTGATGGAAAGTAACATGATTACAATCCATGATACGATCATGGTACATGGAGGATGTTAAAGGCGCAGAAGAAAAGATGAATAGACTAGAGAGTCAGAGAAGACTTCCTCTAAGTGGAAACACAAGTTAAGTCTTAAAGAACAAGGCAATAGACATTAAAAAGAGAAGAGGTAACTGTTTATCAAGCAGCAGAAACAGCATGTTGTAAGAAATGAAAACATGGGAACCAAAACATAACCCGATTCTCTTAAGATTGTATTTTCCCAATGGAGTTCTGTTTTCTCCCCCAGCGTGAAGACCTAGATTTTAAACCTGTTCTGGACTCTCACCCTGACCCACAGAACCTGCATCATCTGCTTGGGTAACACCGAACCAGATTTCACCTGGTAAGAACCGTTCTTGAAATGTTGTCTAAAAGTCCTGACCATGAAGCCTTTAAGAGCAGTGATATTAGATCCAACTCTGAGCTGGCTTCTCAGATTTCCACTCGACTGGTTCTACAACAAGTGCTCTTTGGGGTAGGGAGTTCCTCATCCCACTCACGTATATTCGCACTGAAATGAATTGCTCACTCCAGCCTTATAGTAATAGCCTCCAACAAACAGTAGATAGCTTAAAAGGCAGTCTTTTGTTAGACCTTAGTAGAAAGATTAATGGGTACCAAAGAGTTTTGTCTCCTTGGCTCTCAATCTAATTTATCATCAGAATTGCTTAAGGGATTTTTAATGCAGAGTCCCAGGACCTACTCCTACAGATTCCAAAGCAGAGCCTGGGTCTGTATTTAAAAAAAAAAAAAAAAAATCTCCCACAAATGACCCTAGTCCGAAGCTGTATCTGGGAGCCTTGGTTGAGAAGACAGCCTCTGTGTTCTCTGTCCACTGACCGTCGCTGATGGAATCTGACCAATCACACTCTCTTGAGTCGATACTGGAAGCCACGAGTCATTTTGGGCACCTTTCACATGGAAGTAATAAGCGCTGAGCTCTGATGACAGCAGCATTTCTCCTTGTCCACAGAGGCAGTAAAAGCCGGTCAGCAAAGAGACAAAAAGCAGCAGAGATGCAAGGCTTCAGAGATGAGACATGGCAGACATGTTCTGGCAGCTTTCCATTTCCAGTTTCTTCCGGAAGCCTAGCCCCCCTCCTGTCTTTGCTTCCGTGAGGTGTTTCTTTATCCTATAATAAATTCCTGTCTCTGGCTCAAGCCAACACCAGTTGGTTTCAGTTACTTGGAATCAAGGAGCCCAACTACTCCAAGTCTAACTCAAACAGCCACTCTAAAGAACAATCAGAGAAAACTCTTTAAACACACTATGGTATGAAATATCAACTTTCTTCCCAAACAAGTCTGGAAAGGGGCTTGGGGGAGGGAGAAATGAAACACTCTTACTATCGAGTAGTTTATTCCGTAACTAACTTGGTACAAGGGGTACTCCTTTATGGAAACAAGAGCAAAGACATTATATTGATTTGGAAGAAATGAAAGGGAGCAGTGGAAGCCACACAAACGAGCAGGGCCCAGATGGGGCTCCCTAATGGAAAAGGAAATCTAGCCAATCTTGTGGCACAGATGATTTCTGAGGCCGAGCCAACCTCAGTTATGCTGGTCCCGATCTGTACCTGCTGCCTCACCCTCTCTGAATCAGCCCAAGGCTGGTGGAGGTCTCTGAACCGGGCCAGGGTTTTTGACTGGTTGGGTTCAAACAATCAACACTGCCTAAGAAACAAATAGAGCACAGCTGTTCTCAAATGGGAAAACAGGCAAGCTAGTCTTTCCCGAAGGGAGCCGTCCTTGCCAAGCCAGGATGCCTTAAGGGTCTTCCTGCGCAGGGCATTTAAATACTCCTCTACTCTTGAACAGGAAACTCGTTCAACCCTCCTGGCCACCATCACACACCTGAAAACCAAACAGACATTCATCCAGCCAGGGGACTGGGAATTTAGAGCAGCGTCACCGAGCAGCTGCTTCCTCCCCTGGTAAGCCTGAGGCCACAGAGGCAACGTGGGAGGAGCAGCCCTGCTCCGTTGGGTCCTGTGGCCGCAGAACAGCCCCTGAGCTCAGCCGGCGGACGCCTGCCACTGGAAATAAGATTAGAAATGGGCCAGAGCAGTTCTGAGGCAGAAAAAGCCACCCCAAACAGAGTAAAATTGGGTTCAAAATGTCATTACATGCCACACTAGTGGTCTTTGAATTACTTCTTAGAATTCGCAGGGGCTCTACAGAACACACTGAAAAAGAGTGGGGTCTGAGTCTCCTCTCACCCCTGGATTCTAACAGAGTGGTTCTACCTTTGTCTATTCACTGGTCTTCTTGTCTCTTTGCAGAATGGATTCGTAACTAATAATAGTAGTAGCTCACACTGAATGTGTGGTTGCATGAGGGCTTGTGCACACACGCACACCAGACACTATGCTAGGTGTTTCAGATGCCTCCGCATGATTCCTTCAACCAAGTTCAAGTGGTAGATTCTGTTATCATCTCCCTGGCATAGTTGAGGAAACAAAAGTATCTTGTCCGAGGTCACAAAGCTAGCAGGTGGGAAAGCCAGGAATTAAATCCAGCTCCCTCAGATCCTGGAGCCCTGATATTGTCCCTGGGACGGACCACAGGAAAAACCATCTAGGGGAGGAAAATGAAAAGGGAGCCTTTCGCGAGAGCTGTCATTCTCAACCTTGCCCACATACTAGAATCACCTCAGAAGCTTTAAAGATTATGAATGCCAGGCTCTTGCCCCTGGAGATACTGACTTAATGGATCTGGGGAGCAGCCTGGGCATAGGGATTTGTTTTTAAAGACTGAGAACCACTGCCTTAGAGAAACAGTGATAGGAATTCAATAATTGAAATTACATGTCAACACTAATTTGAGAGTGTCAAAGACAGGAATTTCCCTCCTGGCAAATTACTCAGCTGATGGTATAAAAAGTGTCCTTTAAGACGGAGAAAGAAACACAGCCAAACTCCCATAGCTCTGGAGCAAAGGTGGAGAAGACTGTTTTCTCCTTCTCCCCCACGGCTCAGCTATGACCTTGAGTACACATGGTGGTCACTTATTTGGTGGGGCTGACACAGAGGATAGCTGACATGAGGAGGACACAAGGAAAGATGTGGGAAAAGTGTAAACTGGGAAACAAGGCCCTCCACCTGTGATTCCAGCTTTTATGTGCTCAGGCCAGGACCAAGGATAAGCTGAGGTCGGTGAAGCCTCGAGCATAAAATTTAAGGGGACTCCAAAAAACAAAACCTAAAACTCATCCATCATGAAGATGAATAACGTTTTAGTGCCATATTTAAAAAAATAAATATCAATGCAAAAAAAAAAAAATCCATGGTGAACTAAATGTCAAGAATTTCAATACAGACAGTATCCAACAGGGCTCCAAGGGGCAGGGGTGAGGTGGAGTGAGTGGTGCAAGTAAGTGTAGGATTGGATCTTTTGTCTTCATTTAAAAAGGACTTTTTGGGACATTGATCTTGACTTTTAAAGTTTTTTGCATTAAAGCATTATTTTTCTTAATTTTTTTGTTCCACTGTGAATCCTAGTAAACATTCCCGCAAGGGGAGTAAACCTCTTTTTGGCTTGTTCAGATCCTTCTGAACTGAGGGAGGGGAATATCACAAAAGCACCAGAAGAACACTAGCCTCCCAGAGGCCTGATGGGATTTCCTGTACCAGAACGACTTGGACAGAGAAAGAGCCTCATTGTTCAGAGCCCAGCAGGTAAGGAGGGAGGGAGAGTGGAGAACCATGCTCGGGGAGGCTAAGGTCAGCCGCTGTGCCCAGGGCAGGCTTGGAGTTCCTGTCTCTGTTGACTCACTTGGCTGGGAGAACACAGCTCTCGGTCATACAGGATTCTAACCCTGGTTAGAATCCCTTGGTCAGTTAACCTGTCTAACCTTCAGATCCTTTATCTGTAAAATAGAGCTAATAATGTACCCCCCACAGGGGATATTTTGGGGGATAGATGAGGTAATATCTATAAAGCACTTTGCACACTACCTGGTACGTTCTAAGTGCTAAAACGTGGCATTTATTGTAAGGTGACTATTCCATTTTCTAAGTCTCTTCTAGAAGCTCCACCTTCCTATCTCAGTCCACTTTTGGTACATTTCACTGCTCACTGATAACTCACCAGAGAGGTAGGCCAAATCAGTCAGGTTTATTACTTGTTAATAAATCTGGGAGGTTGTCACTAAAATGGGTCAGGGTTAGAGAAGGGAATGGAGAAGACTGGATTCTTGACTCACGTTTAGAACTTACAAGCTGTGTGGACTTAGGTATAACCTTTCACATCTCTGAGCCTCTTTATTCTTTACTGAAGGAAGATTATAATAGTATCTTTCTTTTTCTCCTCTTGTGGGATCATAGAGATAAAGTTGCAAAAGTGACTGGTAGTTGCAGATTCAGGTGGAAATAAGCTTTAAGGCATAATTTATTATAGTTATTATTATTATTATTGTTACTTTTTATTTTAGAGAAAGAGAGCACGCACAGGAGTGGGGGAGAGGGGCTGAGCAGGAAAGAGAGAGAATCTTAAGCAGGCTCCACGCTCAGTGCAAAGCCCCTAGATGGGGCTCGATTTCACAACCATGAGACCATGACCTGAGCTGAAATCAGGAGTCCGATGCTTAATTGACTGAACCACTCAGGCACTCCTAGGGTACAATTCGTTAAGTAGGCTCATTTTTTGTCTGGGCTGATTCACCTGGTGCTGATACAGAACTTCAATAATACTTGGAAGTAGATTCTTTATCCAGGACTTTAAAATGATAACAGAAAGGATTGGGAGGAACAAAGTTTGGACTATGGAGTGAACTACCTATTATTTGCTAAATTTTTACTTCAAGTAGAGAGACTAGACACTAGCTCTGGTATTAACTATATTACTTCCCCAGTAGGGAACTTCTTAAAATTGGATAATTTTAAGAGGTATGACTCAGGGAGGGGCACCCGGGTGGCTCAGTTGGTTAAGCGTCTGACTTTTGATTTCTGCTCAGGTCATGATTCTGTAGTTCGTGGGTACGAGCCCCACGTTAGGCTCTGCACTGTCAGCAGAGATGTCTGCTTGAGATTCTCTTTCTTCCTCTCTCTCTGTCTCTCTCTGGCTCAAAATAAACACATAAACTTAAAAGAAATTAAAAACAACGTAAAATAATAAAATAAAATAAAATAAAATAAAATAAAATAAAATAAAATAAAATAAAATAAAATAAAATAAAATAAA